TATGGATTACGAAAATAAGGAAACCGTAAAAAACGTCTCTTCGTAGAACTTCCGTAATATAATTATCAATGCGAAGGACATCTGGGAACACGGAACTCTAGAGAAGTGAAGGTGGCCACTAGTATAAAACAATTTCAGTGGGGACCTTTAATTTCTTCAACCTTTCAGAGTTGTCTAACTTACTTATAGTTTGTACTTCGGTCGTAAGTTATGGTTTACCAAACTTCAGTTTTATAATTCTAGCCATTTTAGCAAAAGTTCTGAGTTAATTTCTTATTTATAAAGAAAGTTTTCAAACAATTCTCATTTCTGGGACAACTTTGTTCTATGAAGTTTTATATAAATAATAAATACATAAATAATGAAATTAAATGTAATATTTTTTATCCATATATTTTTTTTTTTTGAGTATAATACTTTGTTTTAGTGGTAGCACTAAATTGGCGAATTTCTATTTACTTTGTGAAAGAAATATAATATAGTTAGTATAATCTCAAATATACCTCAGTATATAAATCTATACAGAAAACAATCGCCTATGTCAAATGTGTTTTAAAAAGAAACCAATTGTCATGCCAAATATTTTAAAGCACTGTCCTATCTCATTGCGTTACATCTGTCAACTCTTTTAAGCCGTTTTCCAATTGTGGTATAAAATTAAGTATAACAATTCGTATTGCGATGTTAGCGCCTAGTTAAAAATAATTTTAGGCTAACTTTAATGTATGAGACTCCCAATCTTAAAGGTTTTACTAACAGCCATTGGCTGATTTCATTATAATCTTGCTTGATCATTGATGAGCTTGATAATATCAAACTTTACCATATTACAAAGTTTCAAATTGCACAATATACAATAAATATTAAAAGGCTTACTTATAATTATTAAAACTTATTGTTTTGATGTGAAAACGGGAAGAGAATTTTTGAATTTACTGTTTCTAAGTTTCTGTTGATAATAGAAAGCTGTTCTTGCCCTAAGTAACATTCGCGATCTGCGCAGGAGATATTATAGTGCAGAAGTGTGCGCGCAAGCACAATTGCACTCTTTGTTCCTGTCACATTTATACTCCGGTGAAATGACACGGCTTTACGTGCTCGTTGAGAAACGGAAGTGAAACACTGCCGTCTTCCCAACTCCAGGCTATTCCAGAAGTAGAGTATTAGTAGAACATAACAAAGTTTGCTTAGACATATTACTACGGTATTCAGTAAACTTGACCCAAATTCTGCTTTATCATAAATATTGTAGACAAAGAGAGAAACCCTTACAACAAATCTAATTAGAGCAACCAACAAAGGATCTTAATAAACCAATTGTAAGAATCGTCATAGAGAACAAGTTACTGATAAACGTTTCGCCAACTTGTTCAGAATTTACACCTTCACAGCATTCGGTCTGCGGCAATCTATTAGTTTTGCGTAATTAAATTTGGAACTATTCAGCGTCCTTTTGGTGGCGATAAAGTGGATTAAACATCTACGCAGTTGTTAGTCTCAATAATTTTATGGTTGTTGAAAATTGAATTTTGAAATGGTGTAATATTAGAATTATGTATTTTTGACTAGCTATTGCTTTTGGCTGTACTTGTTTTATGTACAATTACCTTACTTCTATATTGTTTCGTAGATCTATTCTTCTTAACCGACTTCCAAAAAGAGGGAGGTTCTCAATACTACGAATTTTTTTTGTATGTTCAGCGAATATTCGAAGACGCCTGAACCGATTTGGAAATATTTTTCTTTGTTTCGAAGGGTATATATAATTCCCAACAGTGGTGTTCCAACAGTGGGATGTTAAAAAGGGCTGAATATAAGAGTTTCACACAGTACGTTGTCATCTGTTGGGTGTATTAAAGAAATATTGGTTGTTCATAAGTAGCGAAAACATTCTAATATTACTCGATTTAAACTCTCTAGTTATAAAATCGATCATCCCTTACTATTTAACGAGTTGTATTGACAAGTTTTATTAAAATCAGTGTAAGAGTTTCTCTATAACACATAATTTATGAAATTTATGTTTTTTTCTAACCTGCGGAAACTTTTTACAGGAAAAATGTTTCCGTTAATACTTTCTTAGATTTACGCGAATATTTGACATTTTAAATAAAAGTTTGTTATCGGATTATTTCGCGGATTTATTTTTATTTTTGGTTCCCGACGTTTCGAATACTTTACAGAAATCATGGTCACGGGAGAGACTAAGGTTATAGACGTCTCAAACTAGGTAGCCTGTAACTGTCTGTAACAAGTATGTGTGTAATATGTGAAAGTATGTGAAATTAATATTAATCGTTATCGAAATCGAAAGAATTGGGTTTATATAACATTTGGTATTCATTTTTTGTTTGTTATTTAAGTTTAGATTTGTAATTTAGTTTATTTACTAGCATTGCCCGCGACTCCGCCCGCGTTTAGATAACCGAAAACCAAATTCTTAGTTTTTACATATAAGTATACTCTTACATTGCAGTTTTTGTATTTTTTCTTAGAAATGAGATATTTTCCCGCGGTAAAAAGGATTTTATATGTTGACCCGGATAACCAGCTATCACCATACCAAATTTCATCAAAATCCCTCCAGTGCTTTTTCTGTGATGCGGTAACGGACAGACAGACAGACGAAAATTCTAAAAACTATAGATTCGGCCTCTGCATCGATAATAATGTTTATTTCAATAAGGTTTTCCAAAAAAAAAATATATAATGTACAGATTCAGCTTAGTTACCATTTTATTATATGTATAGATGTCAATACACAAACCCATACTAATATTATAAATGTCAAAGTGTGATTGTTTGGAGTTTTTTTTTTGTAGTTTTAGCGCGAATGAAGCTGCAGGTTCTGCTAGTAATGTTATAAAAATTTAACATTTTAATATATTCTTGTATTAGCTATTTAAAATAAATCTTTTATTATTTAAATATACTTAGAATTTATATTTTTATAGAACCTAATGCTTAGAAAATGTCCAATGAATTCCATTATTCCTTCCTAGACGAAGGTATATACATACATACATACATATATAGTAACAACTTATTTGAGATATTAAATAAAAGCAATAATTCTATAATTAAAAACAGACGCTTTACCAACAGTTAGAAGATGTAATTGGCAAAAGTAAAACAAATATAGTATGTAATGTCTTCTACTGTATATGAGCTATAAAATGAAAGCTCACGCATACCCCTTATCACTCATGTGGGTATGGCAAACCATAAAAAAATCTTTGGATATTTATATAGGCATATCAGTATTTATAAGGCTTTTCTGATTTATGTTTTCCTCGCAAAATGTAAACAGTTTTAGGAAATTTGCAATAAAATATAGATTATGTAAGGAAACTGTATATATTTAATAGTTAAGTTTTCTTTCCAATACAAACTTTCATCCTCATTTTAACCCCTTTGAGGGATGATGTCCGACATAAAAAGTATTCTATGTCCTTTCCAGGGTCTCAAACTAAGAAGATTCTTACCAAATTTCATCTAATTCGGTTCAGTAGATCCAGAGATTACCCCTTACACTGTCACAAACTCACAAACTCACATACTCACAAACTTTACCTCTTTATAATATTAGTATAGATTAGTATTAATATAGTATAGATAAAGTGATGTAATATCATTATTATTATCAACTAGCGGCTTACTGTCGTTTCGCTCGGGTTCGTCCATAGGTACCTTTTAATGGTTAGTATGGAATAGATAGACTACATATTATTGTGTCGTGTTTTTCCGTGTAGTGAGATAACCTCCCGCGATAAAAAGAAACAAACAAACAAACCCACAAATTGCACCGAAGTACTCGTATTTTCCTATATACTAAAGAAAAGAATAATTCTACTTATTTATATATACTGTACATGATAAAATCCGTAAAGCTTACCTATTAATTAAAAAAGAAATGGAATTATTATAATTGGCTTAGAATTGGTAAAGATTGCTTTACGTAAAAAAATCGATTTGACTACCTCTTATATTGTGAAATCTGTCAAATATATATGTATATATAAAAAACAAGCAGAGCAAATTAATTTAAAAGCAAAGCGAAGAGCGATCATATTTTTTTATATTTTTTCTAGGAAATACAATTATTGAATGGTGAATATATAAATTCTATATAGATTAATTTTGAAATTATTATTTACTAGCCGCTCCTCGCTTCCCCTAAGGTAAGTTTTAGCGGTGAGTATGGAATAGATAGATAATATATTATAATTGTATATACATAGATATGATGATTTGTAGTGGGCTGTATTATAACGTTTTTTTCCGCGGGAATGAGATAATCTCTTGCGGTAAAAAGTAGCTTATGTCTCCAGACAAAAAAACACGTCAATCGGTCACTCTGATTTGACGTAAAAGAAGGAAAAACAAACATTCAAACTAACAAATAAACGTTCAAATTTATAATATTAAAGTATGGATGTTAGCAAGGATAAACTAATGATTTGAACTAAATACCTATCTATCTTATATTTTAAAAATTCTCTATACGCTTCATGATTCTAAATTAAATATTATTCATTATATTGAAATATTGAACGAAATAAAATATTTTCTGTCTATTTTGACATAACAATAAATTTTAAAGGTAAATAAAAACTGTTAAATCTATAAAGCTAAGTATAATAGATGACTCCTTAGAAAGAACATCATATTCTGCGAGCATGTAACCACTATTAACAATTAAGAAGACCTATAAACTAAAAAACGGGGTTCAAAATCTTCAAAATAACAGCATTAAAAATCTCAATAACGTATATTACGTAAATTAATTAATTACTATACATGTAGCGAAATTATAAAGCGATTTAAAATATATTTGTACGTTTCATTCACCGTAGCGTATCGGCGATCAGTCCGCCGCGCGCTGCTCTAACGTACGCACGTAGCTTAACCGGCTTTCGAAAGCTCATCTCCGCGCTGGAAGCTCTATCAAAATTGATTAATCATATTTGAAATGTGACAGTTTGCGATGATCAGTCTTAATGGAGTCGGTACTTAGACGAGCGGGATCTGGAGGCGTGTTTATGCAGAGCCTCGTGCTTTTGGTTGCCATGTCAACCATGGGTCGTGGGTTCGTTGAAACTGAAGAGTTTATCAGTGATTTGGATATGCCTAGTAAGTTTTCTTAGTATATTTTAAAGTTTTTTTGTAAACACTAGATATTTATTTTCATTTCTGATATATTTTTTTAACGCTTATAGGTCTCATTTTTGTTTTTATTGCATTAAATGTACATATTATTCGGTGAGAGAAAATTGAATATTCAAATGTATGATGTTAAATATCGCACGAAGCCTTTTAACGGTTCTATAAGCAACGTATGATAATAGAAGTCTGACTATGATATTTATCTTGTTCAGTGTACTTCAAATTACAAAAAACCTATGAAAATAAGGCAATTCCCGTAGTAATATTTAGTATATATTTTAAAAAATGTTAAAATATTTCATGTTGGATTAGTTTTCGCCCCGAATAGCAGAATAATTATATTGAAACATCGGAAAATTCACAATAAAAATAATTAAAATTTACATAGCTAACGCTGGCCAATACCTAATTTATATCTATTTAAAACGTAGCCAACGATGCACCAGGATAAGTTGCTAGTTTCTCATAAAATATTGTTATCGCAGATATTTAGATATTAAAGAAATTTGATGTTTTGAATATTCTTCAAATAAAAGTCCTTTATTTTATTAAAATAATTAAAAAAATTATATCAAAAATATTATATAAAATAAATTCTATAAAAATAGACAAACCTGTGCGAATATTTGTGTCTCATGATATCCTAAAAGTGCGATATATCGTTTATATTCAGCACTTTTTTCAGATAAGAATTTTCCCTTGTTAATGTTCTTTCTGAAAATAAAATCGAGCTTTCCTTTACCGCTTTTATTAACAGTAGCTTTAAGCTTATCCTTACAGTATGCGTTACTCAGTTAAGTACAACACTTTAGAATTTTACATAAGTGAAGAATTTTTGTTTGTTATTTTATTACATATTATGTATGTTTATCTTTCAGTGTAATTGAGATAGCATAAAAACAATTTTTAGTACATTTAACTGCCTTTAAAAATGGAGGAGTGTTTTTGAGTATGTCTCGCGTTTATTGTCAATTAATTACTTGTCAATTGCAAACAAATTTGATATTTATAATATACGAGCAGAACCCGCGGCTTCGTTCGAGCTAAAACTACAAAAAAAATCTAAAAAGGTAGGTTTCATACAAACTTTCATCACCTATTTTACCCCCTTATAGGATGAATTTCGAAAAATGCTAAAACACGTACATATTTTATTTAAGAGCATTAATACCACGTTTCAAGTAATTCTGTTCATAAATTGGTATTATAACGCATTTTACCGTAGGAATTAGATAATCTGCCGGTAAAAAGTAGCTTATGTCACTCTCCAGCCCTCCAACCCACAAAAAAATTCACGCCAATCCGTCAATCCGTTTCGACGTGAAAGAAGGACAAACAAACAAACTCACTTTCACATTTATAATATTAAGTATGGATTATATGTGTGTATATGGTTAATATACGTTAGACTTAAACGTAATAAGGCCATATAAATCCTAAGGGGTGGAATAATTACATTTAAAGTAATTTTGAAGTCGTTGTATTTTTTGAGCAAAAAAGTTGTCATTATATTATTAAATAAGAAAGTATTATGTTGTCATTATAATTTAATATTAATTATCGTCTTTAACAAAAATCTATGTATCGTTATATTTATGACGATATTTTTAAAGAGCTGGCGTAAGCACATATATATGTATATAGAAATTGCATATATACGTGTGTATTCAGCCTTTTTAACGTCCCACTACTGGGCACTGGCCTGCCTTCAATGCGTGGGGGATCAGGCCATAGTCCACGCCACACCACGCCGGTCAAGTGTGGATTGGCGGATTTCACATGTCTTTCGAAAACTTGCTAGGTTCTCACAGATATACAGATTTCTTCACGATGTTTTCCTTCACCGTAAGACAAGGAATCACGTCGAAAGCGAGACCTGGGATTTGAGCCCGCTTCACTTGGTTTCCCAAGCGAGCGCGTTACCACTGCATTCGATATACGAGTACCTATATGTATAAACGCATATATACCTACTACTAATACAGTCGACATTGCGTGCTACGTGTTTTTTTTAAAGTTATTAAAATATCTATAAAACAAAATCTAAACATATCACCATGTACACGACAAGCACTTTTACTCCAATTTTCATTTATATTTATTAGTCCGGTGCAACGCGATGTAGGAATAGGACGGTTGTGCGATGTTTATGTTTTCAATTTAGCTGGGTTTTAAAGGTTATTGGATCAGTTTTAATAGTTGGAACAGTGTACTAAATGGAAAGGCTAACTTTAGCGTATTTCTATTTTAATTTTAATATAATATATTTTATGTGACTTTGTATTTTATATATTAAATACGAGTTTTGATGCGTGCGTGTGTGTGTGTGTGTGTGCGTGCCCGTGTGCGTGTGTGTGCTTGTGAGTGCGCGTTTGCGTGCGTGTGCGTGTGCTTGTGTGTTATGATCAATGCTTACAATCATAATTCAATTTGAAAAAAAAATATTCAGCATTAAATTATTACACTTCGGAAAGAAAGAGCCTAAATTCTGAAAAGAATCGGCGAAAGAAACTCAGAGGGACGGAAAATTTTATTTTTCCTTATATTAAAATAAAATTATAAAATTATCTTCAACGTTAAAATAGGCTGGAGGCGATCACATCGTTCTAAAGATGTATAATAGAATTATATGATCTTATTATACGTTTATATGTTAATATCTTTTTATATAACTATATACTTATAAACCTTCTTTATACAAGTTTTTTGTCTAGGATCAAATCTGCCGAGAAAAAGGTCATTTTGCGAACGAAGGAATATTTAAATTTACACACTAAAATCACTCATCAGTTTAAATTTACAGTTATAATCAGAACGCAACCTCCTGAAGCAAATTTTTGACAGTATAATGAGCTCAAATAGGTCTTTCTTATATAGGATGAAAGAATTTTTTACAATTTTTTATAAGTTATATGTTGGGACATTATTATTACACACGCAAAATAGGCGCATAGTCGTCGAGTTGCAGAAAATAGCCCGAACATACCATACCATACTATTTCACTGCCCCATCTAGTTCCATGGTAAGCTACGAGGCTCGTGTTTTGAATACCAGATAGTTGATACACTACACATATATAACTTTATGTACACACATATTTAAAATATAAACACCTATGACTGGAATACAAAATCATACTCATCACATAAATCATCCCTCAGCGGAACTCGATACCGCGGCCGCTGGCACAGAACTAGGGTCACTATAAACTGAACCACACGCGTTCTCAAAATTTATAATAACAGCAAAACAAAAGAGCTCAAAAAACGCACGGACAATATGCTTGAAGTGTGTTACATACTAATTAATAAAAAAAATATTACAGGGCGATTTCATTTAAAAAATAATAATTGTGTTAACAATACTAAAATTGGTAACATATTACAATACTGAATTTGTAAGAATCTGGCTAAAACATTTTTATTAAAAACCCACAACGTTCCAACAAATTATTTAATTACGAACAAATGTATTGCTTTAATTATTTACAAGTATTCGTGTAATGTTATAAATATGTTAAGAAATTGGACCTTTAATAATTATGTCCTTGAGCCATCTGGTGTCTTATAATGAAACCAAATATGTCAAGTTTTGTTCATATAAAACATCTGGCTTCTGAAGAAATATTTCTCTCTGCTGAGAGGTAATAAGTCTAATTCTATGAAGGTAATATTATATTGCTTAATTCTGAAAATTAATAAATGAATGAAAAAATTAAATTTCTTATAATACTTTCTAAGATTCATGCGAATATTTGACATTTTAAATAAAACTATCATTTCGATTTATTTCGCGGATTTATTTTGATTTTTGGTTCCCGACGTTTCGAATGCTTTACAGCAATCATGGTCACGGGAGAGATTAAGGTTTTAAACGTCTCAAAGGCGCTATATACTTTTACAGACAGTGCCTATCCACAATTTTACAAGAAGATTTAAAAAATTCATAATTGGAAAATTCAAAGTACCTTACAATATTTGTTAATTTTAATTGTTAACATTTAATTTTTTTTAATAAGTACTATAATTAAATATGGCAATATTATTTATTTTATTTTAGCTGTTATTATTATAAATATTACATTTAAAAAAAAAAACTATATTAATTAATAATATTATTTAGTGTTGCCTATTATTATGTGTATAACCATAAATAATATTATTATCATACAAATACAAAGGATGTTCTTCATCTTCCTAATGGACGACACGTTTGGCTCAGTTTGTAGCGACCCTACTTGCTGTGCCAGTGGTCGCGGGTTCGAGTCCCGCTGGGGGCATTCATTTGTGTCATGAGTACGAATGTTTGTATTCTAGTCATGGGTTTGGTGGGTCAATGGGGTTTATATTTATAACTAGCATTGCAAGCGGCTCCGCCCGCGTTCAGATGACCAAAAACCAAATTCTTATATTTTACATATTAGAATACTCTTACATTGCAGTTTTTGTATTTTTTCTCAGAAATGAGATATTTTCTCGCAATGAATAGTATCATATATGTTGACCCGTATAACCAGCTATCACCATACCAAATTTCATCAAAATCCCTCCGGTGGTTTTTCTGTGATGCGCTAACAGACAGACAGACAAAAATTCTTAAAACTATAGGTTCGGCCTCTGTTAGCGTTAATAATGTGTATTTCAATAAGATTTTCCAAAAAATATTTAATGTACAGATTCGGCTTAGTTACAATTTTATTATATGTATTTAAAGTTATATATGTGTATATAGAACTATCTGGTATCCATAACACAAGCCTCGTAGCTTACCATGGAACTAGATGGTGCTCTGTGTTAATGTCCAAACATAGTTATTTATTATTTATTTATTTATAACTGGTTATTAAATAAACATATTCGTCTAAAAACCACCGCCCAGTCAACACGTTAATCTTAATACATTATATTATGAGTTTGAAAGTGTACTGACACGATTTAGATGCTGATAAATTTAAAGATTTACCTAC